AAAATAAAGAAATCTGTAATGGAACTGTTTGGTCTCCAGAGGATTTACTGAACTTTGGGATCGAGTGTGCAGACTCTGACATTTTGTTGAGTTTGTTGAGACTCTGACAATAACATCTTCAAATGTAATGGATACCCACACATTTTCACTAAAAAAAAAAAAAAAAGGCCTAGCTGCACAACCTATTGCGATACAACCATCACAAGCTATGAAAAGGATCACTCACATGCAATCAACTCGCATACATCAAAAACATCTCTGAGACAACTAACAGACTACTAAAACAGGTCCAGATGAACTCTTTTTTCCAGAATCTTCTGGAGCTACAGCCTGATCACCTTCTCAATAACCTGCCCTAAAAAGGGAAGGCTGCAGACTGATGACTACTGTCCAGAATTGTTGGATCCAGTGATGGACTCTTGATGAAGGGTGCACCACCACCTCTTTTAAGGATAGAGAAACCAACCCCTGCTGCAAAGAAGCCAATATCGCCACATGAACCCAACCATAAACCATCTCCCAGGTAGCCTAAGCAAGCCAGCATAGTGTAATGGTATGTGGGAATGACCTTGGGAGATAGGAGGAAGAGCTGCAGCCAGGGGAATGATTGGATAAGAGGCAGGGTAGCCTGCAGCAGGAATGTGGGTATGGCAAACATCTCAGAAGGGAACCTCCCTAGAGTCTTGGGCTGTAAAGGCAACAGGGGAGAAATTGACTTTCAGACTTTCAGACTTGAAAGGTTCTGTTATTGAAACCTTACAGTAAAGTAGAATTAGTTCGTCTGGGCATGTTTCTTGTCTGGACTACCTTGCAAGGCTGACATCAATCTTGCAAGTCTTGAACTACTGGATTTTGTTGCTAAGTTGGTGGTAGAATCCCCGAGGCTCTTGGTCCTTTGGGACTTTAACGTGCCATGTAGTGATGTTGAGTCCAGAGTGGCTCAGGAGTGCATGGCCTCCATAGCAACCATGGACCTGACCCAAATAATAGGGGGCCCAATGCATACCAGGGGTGGCACTTTAGGTCTGGTTATTGTCTGCGACAGGCAGTTGCAGTGCGACTGGCATTGGAAGACATTACCATCGGTCTGTTGTCAAGGACAGATCACTCTTTAGTTGCCCATTGGCTCATTGGGACCACCCACCCCTGCAGGGAAACAAAGCCTGTTAGGCTGGCCTGCCACAGGTGACTAATGGACACTATTGTGTTCCAGAGGGAGCTCTTGAGGCAGTCTCTTCCACTGTTGGATTGTATTGAATTGCAGAATATTTCCACGGTTGAAGAGGACACACTTAAATACCAATCATCCATTCTCCACCAGGGTGGTGGGTATTGTTCCACAAAGAAACAATGTTGGCAGCAGGTTTAGGAGACCAAATTATGAGTTTTAAAATTGTTGTACTGTGTTCTGTATATCAAGACTAAGGTCAAGTTATCAAAGGTCATCCCAGTGGTTGACTTGTTGAATGACAAAGGTGAAGAACTAATCCTCAGTCC